TATCTTTCCCCCTGTACGTTTTCAACGCACCCTACTTCTCCTCGGAGTCGGGCTTTGGATTGCACGCAGTTGAAGTATGACTTCGGGTTCCTCCGTGCATTCCGTGCCAGTTTCACCTCGTACGCTTGTCTACATTGATTTTGGAGACGAGTTGTTCGTTGACGTTCTGTCCTGTAGTGTAACAGAGACCTGTATCCTCTGTTTTGTGGGTAGCGTCTCCAAGCTGCCTTTTTGCGTCTCAGCGCTCGCTATAGACAAGCACGCCACCACGAGGGCGTCCCATGCTTTCTAATCCTTCGGAGGGGTGTCACTTGATCTGTAAGCTTAGAAGATTACTTTTTACCAGGTCCCATCGATTGACTACCGGATCGAACGCCCTTCTGATTTTCAATCAAATCTTTCAGTCGTCCTGAGCGATGCCATTGGCGCCAGACCCTCATCTTCACTGCGTGAGGATGTATGGTTGCGGTAACAGCACGAGATGGCCATTTCCGTGGGGCAATTTCACGATGGTTGTCGCCACCTGGAGGTTAGGTGTGATTATCCGCGGACCATCATATTGCTCGTAGTGCTGTTCTACTAATCGGAGGACACCATCGCCAGTTCTCCCATCCTATCGATCAACCCTGCTTTCAATGTAGCCCGTGGGGGACTGGGCTGTTATGCTCTCCTCGGGTAGCAGCCAAATTTCAGTGACTGCAATCACATCTGCTCCCTGAGAGCGGACCCTAAGCTCGGGTCACCTGTTCCCTATGTTCACTGTATTAGTGTGAGTGACAAACAGCCCCCACCCCCTGGATATGTGCCCTATCAGGGGAGTTGTGATGTCGCTCCGAATTTAAGTCCGAGGACCCCAACCATTCTTTTGCCTTTATGGTCCACTTCGATGTAGGACCTTCTTTCTGCTCAGTTTTTCTGGGGCGTATAGACCGCCAGGGATGTTCCACGGCTTGAGTAACGGACTCTTAACTGGGCACACTTGTATAAAGGGGGTATCTCCTGAGAGCGTCTCTCAGGCGACCCTTGTCTCCTGTTTAAAAGGAGTAGATATCTTGGTGTGCCCGTATTATAGCCCGGTGATGCTAGTGGGCCTGTGGCCGATTTTTCCCTGCATCTCCCGTTGTCGTCAAATTGCACCATTAAACCTTCTTTTGTGGTGGTCCTAATTTTGTCAACCGTAGCAAGAAACCAGTCCGTGTCTCGTGTTGGTGAACTCTACCAAGACGGGTCTGGGTTCACTTTCCCTGCTGCTACCAGCCTACAATTTTCATATGCGCAATATCCTTTTGATAGCCACATGACCTGGCAAGTTGGCACACCTGAATGGGTTCACCACATGATATCTCATGGCTAGGTCCCTCAGGCGCCCTTCTTTCATGAAGGGTTCAGGAATGCCTCTGACAACATTCCTGTCTTCCCAAGGCCAATTCACTCGTCCGTCGGAGCTCGGACGGCGTTTTGGCTATTTTAGAATTCTCTATCCAAAGCTGACACCTTATCCTTCATGGCTTCTAATCCTTTATCTTGCCTGACAATTTGCTGCTGTTGGTTTGCTATTTTGTCTTTACCACCTCTGGGCCTCCCGTTATTCTTCTTGTTTTTGATCCCTGTTAGCTCAACTGCCGTAGTTAGCCTATTCACCGACTGGAGTCGCTTCTTTGGACTAGCTTTTAGTTTTACGGTCTGTTTTGCCCCGTAGTTTTTAATAGTTTTCTCCTCTTTGTTGGCACCCGGAGGGTCACCCTCGTAGTTACGAGGTAACCATTCAGTACTTTCCTCCAATTCAGTTGAACCCCTCAGAGCTTCGTCTTGTGGGCCATTTATCTCTGCCGGTTCTACCGATACTTTCCTTATCTGTGGCCCTGATCCTACGTATTACCTACCTGCATGCAAGGCAGACCCAGATTAGCCTCTCATCCTCATAGTACTTGTTGTATAGTTCCTGTGGGAGTTTCCCGCAACCCGGGTGAAACCATGCGTAGCAAGTTTCACACTGGATTCCATCGGCTACCTGACCGCTTGAGCATTGGGGGTTGCCACAACGATCTGCCCGCTTAGACATGCGAGTAGCTGTTCGTTTCGCAGGATGTTTTCGTGAAGCACCTTTGGCCATGTCTATTTGTTGTTATAGATTGGAGTATGGTTAAAAAAAGGTCAATCCTATCACAAGGTAAGAGCTAGGGTGTCAGCTAGTGGGCCTCAAGGTAGGTGAACTAACCCAGGGAAAACACGGTAACTCACTTGCGAGAAACAGTTTTGTCACTGTGAGACACCGGGCTGTTGGTCCAACCCACAGACGTTTACCACTAAGCGTCGTGTTATTGTCCGAGGTTCAAGTCTCTCCACCGTTTCAGATACAATTTGTAACGCCTAACCTCTCGATTTGCCTTCTGCTTCCAGTCTTTTCAAATCCAAAAGTTTCTCAAGTCTCACCGAGAGCCACTTACGTAAACCTACAAGACATGGCGCTTCCGCGACACTCGACTCCACCTCAAAAGAACAATACACGTCGCATCAATTCGTAGTGCTCAGTTTGAGGTTGCGTGAACAGGCCTGTTCACGCCAGTTATCTTTCAGGATATGACCACTAATGCCTCCGTAACAGTACTCAAATCTGGTGGGAATAACAAGTGGCTAATGTATAACATCATGCGTTCAATGTTGACAGCCGTTCTCCCAAAAGAAAGAAACGGCGCGCCAAACCGCCCTTGATAGCCCGGTAATGTTCGAGGTATGGCTATCAATCACCTCTCCGTACTCTCCGCAACCGCTGTGCTAGGCTGGAATGAACGAAAGTAGTCGGACTGATCTGGTATGGAGTATGAAGTTAGCTCAACTCTGATGCTCCATAAAAGAGAATCAAATAGCCAAGAGAAATATCATAACGTATGACAAAATCGCAGTAAAACGTTTTGCCCCATTGTTTATACATATGTAATGAACGAAGAGGGTTTTGATCCAATTGTGCAAACGACTTACTGAAGGGTCCAAGGAAAGTATTCTAACCGTGTTATCTGACAATCCGACTGCTAGAAAGCGCGACCGTTGTTCATTAGCAGGTATGCGACCAAGCGCCATGCAAATGACGTCCGCTGGCATCTCCTTACGTTCCGTGTATTCATTGAGTTGGCCTGTCATATCCATTTCGAAATATACCAACTCTCCACCTGTGAGAGCTATAACAACCTGTCGTCGATTAACGGCACATTTAACGATAGTTTTTTTGCCTGGTGCACGCCAAACGTTGACACGTTTGTCTGCACGGATGTGCCGAATACCGTCTGGATAAACTTGCACAAGAGCATCGTCGCCCAGCTGAGAGCATGTTAGCGTCGGTGTCGTGCCCAAAAAGCCGGAATCAGTTACTTCCTCTACAGTTTCACCGATAGACAAAACCAGTGTCGCATTGACAAAGGAGACGATGATGTATGCGTCATACTCGTCTACAATATCAAGAAGAAAAGAGTGGAATATAAAACCAGTGGTCAACCTGTGAAATGAATTTCGCAACTGATCTGACGTCACTTGCAACTTAAAATCAAACCGTTAGAAAGTTGACGGATGAGAAGTACGTTAGACAAACGGCTAATACAGAATTACATTTTGCAGTAATTTTACATGACCGAATGGACTGGATGCAAACGTTTGTATAATTATGATTAGTTTTAAACCCTCGGGCGACACGTTTGTTCTTGTAGGAATGCTACAGTTTTGGCCAGTAAAACGACGATTTGTACTGAGAGTCTCGATCGAGCAGTAGTGATACTCTAGGACAGAAATTAAGCGATTTACCTTCGGAGTTTCGCTTCACCGTCCAAACTGCATTCGGATTGCCAGGCAGATCAGACTTCGCCATTTCGGATACCTCAAGACCGTGACGCAGCAGGCGGAAAGTAGATCCCGCACTCCTACCGCACAGCACCGCCAACTGCGGAGTATCCTCGTTTGCAAAGTCCGCAATCTGGGGGAATATACGTCAAAAGATTTAACTTACATGGAAGTTCATTATCGGGGAAAGGCTGTCTAAGACATCAACTTCGATTAGGTTTTTCAATGGCCTGGGGGCGAAATAAAACGTATCCCCCTCTTCCAAGGGCATTGCAGAAGAAAATTCCGGTTCATCATCGTCATCTCCAAGGTGGGCTATTTGATACAAGCAACTGAGAGATTAAACACGAAAATAAGAAGCTTACTGGTTCCCGAATTCAGAAGCCACAAACAAGAAGCCAGTTTTCAACACACACATAGCAGAGGCAACCGGGACGGTGTCAAAATACTTCAACTTTATCTCCGTGACCATGTCATCATCAACTTCCAGGTTGATTTTAAAGATGTCACCTTGTTCAGTTTGTGCCAAAAAGAAAAATAAATTCTAAGGAAAGGCGCATTAGTTTCCTGAAACGTCAAACCTTTGTTTTATGAGATGCACTGCACACAAATAATATCCCTCGATCAGGATCGTCCAGATCGTTTCTTCTTTGAGGAATGGGACAGCGAATATCGGGCTGATCACCAAAATTCTTGTAAGTGATATAATTTTCAGAACATATAAGAATACCAGAGGGACCTTCGTTGCCACCCGGTACAGCGATTAGAAAGTTAGCATGTTCCTCTAGAGGCTCTGAATATTTGCGGACCACATGATTCAATCCTAAATCCAATTCATAGTATGTCAGCAGCTGATTTGCTCCGCGGGCTGCTTCACCGGTTGGGTCTTGGTCCGCGTCTTCATAATCCATTTCGATGCAAGCAAACAACGGGTTGTCAAATCCAACGTCCACTCCAACCATATGATAGACCAATGTGTTTGATTTATGTGCTTCCAAAGGAGAGGATATAGTCAACCTCGCCTGAGAGTCACGATTCATTATGTACACCAACTTCTGCTTTTCCACAGCACCTATCATGAATGCTCTGCCCTTAGGATTGACAGCCAAATACTGTCCAGGGACGATTCTGCGGCAGCCACTCTTCCCAAAGGTTTCCTGTTGGACCTTCTCGAAGATATTTTTAGAGGGGATGTACTCTAAGATGACTACACGCCCCGAATCTGACCCAACAATAAGATAATCTATGAAACTAAAGTAAAGCAGAAAATCTTAACTAACCTTTACTACTGCCAGTGAGTCGGAAAGGCATGAAAGAACGTATAATCCCGAAGGATTCACATGTCAAGAGTGTGTATACCTTTCCAGAATTCGGGTCTGGACGCAGTAACTCGATGATTTTTCCACGAGCAACAGCAATTTCCTGTTGCTTGGTTCCCGAAAAATTGCCGTGCACAGCATGAGTAATTCCAGAAGCCCTTTGAAGTGTGATATTGTAAAGATACATGCTAACGCAGAAGCGTAAAATGCCCTGGGCTGATTAAAACAAACGCCGCACCGTTGTGATGACGTATGCCTCCACAACCGAAGTTAGGTCAGGTCCGGCTCGTCAGGTCAGGTTTCACGAGACTGAATATGGCCACGGCCGATCGAGCGTCCAGAATTCCTTCGACTGTATAACCGAAATTTTGCTGGTGGGTATGCCACAAGATAAAAATCCTGATCCAGCATGTCAAACAACAAACGCCCTGGAGAGAAGGGCAAACCCCATCGACCCTTCACCTTGTTATAACCAGGTTCACGTCAGTCATTTATAGTCTAGAGATCCAGGAACTGATTGATAAGAGCGATCACG